TAAGCCAGGAAAAAAACTCTGATAGAGCATATTGAAACATTTTTAAAGTGAGAATACACTTGGGCAAACAGAGTAATATATTTTTTAATGCATAGACTCTATTCAGAATGATGTGTACGACATATCAAATTTAATCTCCTAAAATAAACGTCTTAATTTCTATCTCCTTATTGAGAAAAAGCAATTTTTCTACAGACTATAGTAAATGGCACCATAATCCACCCAGAAAATGGAATCTGTGATTCTATATTTCCCCTCAGCTCTCACTTTTAACCCATCAGGTCTGACTCAAAACTCTGAAACAGCTGGATTCTGCTCACTTTTCTTTGCTTCTAATAACCTGTACCTCATCCAAGCCATATTCAGGTCTCACCTGGGCTTCTGCCTTCCAGCATATTATGTTTACCTTCCTACTGTCCATTCCTTACCTAGAAGTTGTAGGAGACTGTAATATATACCCCCATATCCCCACAGAAAATAAGAAGGGCTGTTGAGCTGAAGGCAATTAAAAAGCAGATGTAGGAGAATGCCTTGCCTTTCCTATATGGGCCTAAAAGCAGGACTTAGATTTACAAAGATAAACAGCAAAATGTCATCCCCTGCAATCACCAGGGAGAACAAAAGTTAGCCACTGAAGACAACTTTGGATCCTTACTGGTCTGGAGATGGCACCAGAGGAATCTTGCAGCAACAAGACTTACTAATTAGCCTTTATTTACTAGATATTTGCCTTCAGAAGAAACTTAGAAAAGTTACCAACCCTAGAGTCAAAGTCTTTTGCCATTGTCTTGTCATTTCTCTGAAAATTCACTAATTTTTTCTTGGTAACTTGGAAGGCCAAGGCAGGACATTTGAGGCCAGCCTCAGCAATTGACTGAGACCCTGTCTCAAGAAATTAAACAAACAAATAAATAAATGGGATTGGGGATGTTGCTCAGAATATATCAACTCTGGATTCAATACAAACAAAAATTACTCTTTTTTGGTGAAGATGCTACAAAAACTGGAATTCAAAAGCATCTCTTTGACAACTACTCATTCCTGGGTTCTCATATATTATATGTGAAATAATATACTCATAAAATTCTGTTTTTGTCTTGGTAATCTGTCTTTTGTTATAGGAGTCTGTTCTAACTAGAAACCATGGGGGCCAAAGAAAAAAATTATTTTCCATCCCTCAAATGACCAGATGGATCTCTAAAAATTATGTATCAGGCCACTTCACTCTCCTGTTTAAAACCTTTCGCTGGCTTCCACAGCACACAAAATACAACACCAGCTTCTTGCTCAGACTTGAGGCCTCTCCGCCTCCTTCCTCCTTCCCCCTCAGGCTCATTCTCACTTGAGAGCTATTTTGGTCCCCTCTCCAGGGCACACTCTTCCTCCTAGCTTTTCTGTGTCTGGCTCCTTCTTTTTCAATGCTGAGTTGACTTCACAGGTATATTTTTGTCTCCCCACAATTCCCGTGGCCGACCACCACTGTTACTATGTCCTATCATAACATTCCCTATGTACTTGAGCCCAGCAAATGGTGGAGTTGCATCTTTTAAAACTAAACAGGGATTTTGAACAACATGTTCTTGGCAATGGAACGTGGACATAATTTATCAAACACGGTGGAGGAAGTTTTCACTTTGCATTAAAAAAAAAAAAGCCAGATATCAACTGTTACAGATATGGAACAAGACAGAACGTTTTGAAGAAATGTTCATTTTCTTAAAGAGACTTCCTCCACGGTTGGAGAGCTCAAATAGCCTCCTGGGCAGTTGTCTGGAAGCAATTCTTCACAAAATCATTAAACTTGGCTTCCACTTTGGAAGGAAAACTACCTTTTCCTCCATTTGGTTGCATTTTTACTTTAATGTCTTCTACTGCACTACGTCCTTTGGGTGTGTTGGGGAATTTTTCCTGCATTTTGGATTCTTGACCTTCATTTTAGTATCGATGGCTTCATTCTGGTTTGGTTTTTGTGCAATTTTGGCTGGAGTATCTTGTATAGATTTCTTCACTGCAGCTTTTTCTTCAGTTTCCTCATCACCAAAACCATCATCTTGTGGTCTTCACCTTCATCACTGCCCTCCTCCTCCTACTCTATGTCAGCACGTTGTACTTTCCTCTGTGGAACTGTACTACCACTTCCAGGGGCAGCTGGCTTTCCAGAGACTCAAGAGTTTTCCATTCTCCTCCTCTTCATCTTCAAACTCTGCATCTTCCTTCATAACTACTAAGTGCTGTCCAGTAACGATCAGTCCCTAAATCACATTTCACCCTTAAGACTACAGGTGGTGTAATTTCAAAGTCCCCAAGTGAAACTGTTGATTGTACAGACATTGTCACAGATGCCAGTATTTTTTAAATTGGACTGACTTCATAATTCATTGCCTCTTTTTAAAAAAATGTGCAGTTTATCCTTTGTACAACAGCTCCTAAGCAGACACTTTTTTTTGGTGGTGGTGGTACTGGGGATGGAACCCAGGGGTGCTCTACCTCTGAGCTACAGCCCCAACCCTTTTTCTTTTTTATTTTAAGACAGGATCTCACTAACTCACTAAGTTGCCCAGCTTGGCCTCAAACGTGCTATGCTCCTGTCTGAGCCTCCCTGGTTGCTTGGATTACAAGCACATGACTTTGTGCTTGGTTCTAAACTGTTCTTAATGATAACAGGTGCTTTTTTCACCATCCACCCTAAAATACTTATCAGCCTTTAATTCACAACCAAAGAGCAGTTCAGGAGGGTTCACATCTATTTGCATTAAATCTTCCATGGGGTGGTGGCACGCACTTAGTAGGAAGAGAAGGCAGAGATAAATGACTGCTGCAGAGGAGACCTGCTGGACACAATCACGCTAGCCTGGCTCCTTATCATTCCAATCTTATTTGAATTTCACCTATCCAAGAGGCCTTCTCTATGATCAATGAAAGTGGTTACTGGGCCATGTTCTCTATTTTAGTTTTCTGCCAGGCACTGACCACAATCTGGTAATTTTTTTTTGCCGCAGTCTGGCTGGGCACAGAATCACGAGCGAGCCACTCAAGCAGGAACAAACTTTATTTCCAAAACTCCCACGAACGCCTTCTCCCGGGACACACCACACCAACTGGAAATCCCTCCTCCCGAAATCCCTCCTACCGCACTTCCCCAACCAATGGGAACTCTCCTGGAATCCCTGTAGAGCTCCAAAGTAGCCTCATCCAAAGTAGCAGGCCCAGGCGGGGTCTAATATCCAATTGAATACACATCTTAACATAACAATTATCATCTCAATGGCTTGCTGGCATCACCCTTCAACCAAAAATGCCATGCTTCATTCCTACTCAGCTATGGCTCTCAGCATTTTTTGGTGTATTTATTTGTTAGTTAATTTATATTTCTTTCCTCATTAGAATGTAAGCTGATCCATGGCAGGGAGCCTTATTTTATTCACACAAATATCTCTAATATCCAAAATGGTGCCTAATACCATAGTATGAACTTATGAGATACTTATTGAATGAATGAGAAGAATGTGTTATTGTATTATTAAATTTTTATTAAAAAGAACATTACTTATATATAGTTACATATTTTTGTTGTGGAAGCAACGAAAAAAGTATGGAAAGATATTTAATAGTAACCATTAATTGGTAGTGAAAGGAATAATAATAATTTCACATCTATAATTACAAATAAGTATGTATTTCTTCTTGGAATGAAAAAAAGTAATTTAATAAGTAAAAAATTTAAAAAAATGTGAAAAGAATGAATATTCTCTCATCTCAAGAGACAAATTGATTATACAGGTTGAGTATCCCTAATTCAAATATCCCCAAATCTACAACGCTCCTAAATCTTTTTGTGTTTGTTTGTTTGAGCATGTACATAAGGCCATAAGTGGACAATTTCACATCTGATCTCATGTGAAGGGTCATAATCAAAACACTGGCATGCTAAAAATACTGCCTAAAATTATATTTAGGCTATGTGTACAAGATATATTTGAAACATAAATGAATTTTTTTTAAAAAAATATTTTTTAGTGGTTGATGGGCCTTTATTTTATTTACTTGTATGTGGTGCTGAGAATCAAACCCAGTGCCAACCGCATGCTAGGCAAGCATGCTACCACCGAGCTACAATCCCAGCCCCTCGCAAATGAATTTTGTGTTTAGATTTGGGTCCCATTCTTAAGCCATTTCATTATGAATATACAAATATTCAAAATCTGAAACACTTCTGGTCCCAAGCATATCAGATAAGAGATACTCAACCTTTATAACAATAGTTATCTCTTTCCCTCCAACTCTAGAAGCATGCCAATATTATAACAATCTTGTTCTAATAATTTCTCCATTAATAGATGAAGTAACTGTTTGAAGACATTTGTTATTGCAGGTGTTGAAGTGCTTTGAAACCATAAAGAAAGGGTACAGTTCAGCCATAAAATGATCTTCTAATAAATTCTGAAGTATCTAATCAGAATAAAATTATAGAACTTGAGGAAATCTTAAGCAACTTTGAAGATGATAATATTCATATGGTTAAGTTCTGATATGCTTGTTTAACATAGTTTATATTACTTTTTTGTTCTAATTAGTTACACATGACAGTAGACTATATTTTGATACATTACTTTTTTTTCCTATTGGGGGGAGGGGAGAGTTCTGGGGATTGTACTTGACCACTGAACCACATCCCAAGCCCTATTTTGTATTTTATTTAGAGATAGGGTCTCACTGAGTTGCTTAGTGTCTCGTTTTTTACTGAGAGTGGCTTTGAACTCATGATCCTCCTGTCTCAGCCTCCAGAGCCACTGGGATTACAGGCATGTGCCATTGCACCTGGCCATTACATTACTTTTTAATAATACCTCAAATGTTTTTTATATTAGGGAAATTTGCTAGTTAGTACACATATGATGTGTTTGTAATACTAAATGCTGAAAATCCCAAATGTCAAATTTGGGAAAATGCTCATGGCAAAACCACATAATGCACTCAGAGCTCATCAGGAGCAGCCTTACCTCAATAGAAGATGGGGAGCTTGATGGTAATGGGAAGGGAGGAACAGCCATCTGATTGACTGCGTCTTCATTTCTGCAAAATGTTAAAATAGGCAGAATCAGTACAGAGTAAATCCTGAGTTCCTGGCTCAAATTACAAGTGCTTCCTTACTTCTCAATTGAAAATGCACATGCATCGCACAGAATTAAATACATATTTAAATATATAGCTTCCAAGCACATGGAGCAATTAGACACAGAAAGAGATGTATCACTCAAGGGATTCTCAGATACAATTATTAGTGACAAAGAATGATGATGCTAGGAGTTCGCCAAATCTTGCTTGGAAAGTCAGGTGCTGTGAAAGATAATTTTGGAAAGGCGTCAACTTGCTTAGCGAGGTGGAATAGAAATTTTTCAAAAGGGTGTATATGATCTCTAGGCCCCATTAACGTCTAGAACATTTTGTTCTTTGAGCTGGAAAGGTTCCCAGCCTCCTCTCTCAGTTTCTAACTTCCTTCTGCCAAAAGAAGGATGGTGGATGTCTACAACAGGCCCTGCATAGTGGACTGTGAAGAGTGATGGATGGGAGTGTGGAGCTTCCTGTAGACAATGCCTTGTGAATTCTCCTCATTATCCTAATGGAGCAGAGGAAGTGGGAACTGCAACCTTGTCACCAGGGCAACAGGCACACAACTCCTAGAGCAGCAGTTCTGATTATTTGGGCCTATTTCTACCATATTACTAGCAAATGCAGAAGTAAGTGGTTAGGTGGGAGATGGCTGTCCTTCACCATTCATGATGTAGGACCAACATAATTATCTCAAATTATTCAAGCTTTATCATTTCTTCTTTTTCTTTTTTCTATATGGGGGATTGAACTCACGGGCACTCTACCACTGAGCTACAACCCCCGCTTTTTTCTTTTCTTTTAAATTTTGAGACAGGGTCTCAATAAGTTGTTGAAATTGGCCTCAAACTTGTGATCCTCCTGCCTTAGACTCTTGAGTTGCTGGGGTTAAAGGTATACACCACTGTGCTGGGCTTTGATTTATCTTTCATAATATAAATCGATAAAGCTTACAAAAAGGAGTCTTGTTGATATGTAAAGGTCTAAGAGTTCATATAGATCTCTGCTCATATAACCAATGTATTTAAGGGAAGCCATGGCCTGACTCAGGAGCAGTGACCAACCCCATTTTACTTCTGATTTCTCCCTGACGGGGTAACAAGTCCATTGGTCCATGTCATTCCTGTTTTGGTGCTTTAATCATATTGCCATATATGAAATGCCAGTATTTATTCAATTTATACCTCAAACCCATCCTTTTCCTTTAGTGTCAGTTCAATAAACCACAAATAGGTGAATCATTCCCTCAAAATCAGAGACTATTTATATACTGACATCTTCCACATTCACATATTTAGCCCACATCAATTTCTGAGCTGAAGAGCTATATATTCAACTCCTCCTTTATGTTTTTTCCACTAGATGTCTTACGAGCATCTCAAATAACATAGAGCTTTTTATTCCTCTCAGTTCCCAGATGGTTCCAAGGCCAAGTCTCATCACCTGAGTACCCATCAACAATATCTGTACCTGTCATTTAACCAGGAATTAAGCATTAATACCTCTCATTCCTCAACTGTACCTTCAAGCCATCAACTAGTAATGTTTATTCTGTCTTTAAAATGTTATCATGCATCTTTCCACTTCTTTCCATCCTACCCTATTGTAAGTCATTATCATTTCTCATCTGAATTAATGGAGAGCTTTCTACTCATCTCCACACTTCCGTCCTTTCAGCAATCCTCCCCAATCCATCCCTCACCCAGCAGAGCTGTGGTGGTCCTAACATACAAATCTGATTATATTTCTATCCCTTGCTTAACATCCTCCCATTGCACTTAGGATCAAGTGTATTGTGTTATTTTATGAGAGAAATTCACTCATTAGAGTTGAGCTTTGGGAAAATTGCTTCTCATAGCCTCCGTTTCCAGAGTGCTGATGTAGGTAGGTTCAATTACAAGAATTCTGGTGTAAATTCCTTGTGGAATGAGGGAGCATATAAAGAAATGAAGTCTAGGTATCACTTCTTGGATTCATGGATTATCTAGTTAGTGAGCCAAACCAAAGCAATCGGAAGAAAAACTAAAACTATGAAGTGCCAGAGAGGATGAAAAATGTATCTATTCTTTCCTGACAGCATTACAGATGCCTTGAGTATGCACTATTATGTAAAAGATGGCTACTGGTTTTCAGGGGTTATAATCCATTCCTCAGCAGTTTGCTCATACATAGAAAAAGTAGTCAGTTACCCTGGGGTGAGTAATCCCATTTTCCCGGTGGTAATACTCCTCCCAGTTTCTTCCATAGAATAACACAATAGAGCTCAGCTCAGAGCCTAATACCAATGGGACATATCTGCTCCAGATTTGGAACTCACACAGCAGAGTGCATTTGGCAGTAATTAAGTAGATGCTTTTATATCTCTTTCAAAGGTTACCAGCAGTGAAAATGACTACACATAAATTCTTATTAAGAAATCCTGATTAATGAGACCAAGTTAGCTCAAATCAGCCAAGTTATCCCTTCATAATTTAATGATTTTCCCCAAATTAGTATGACTTCAGTGCCCTTTAAAGTCAGTTTAAATTTTTAAAAATCTCAAGTAATAGGAAACCTACACTTAGTCCCAACGGAGACAGGAAAGCTGCTATAAGAAGTTATAGTTCATAATTCCTTATACTCTGCTTCATAGTGAATTTTCACACACCTCAGCATCAAGCTGTAGAAAGCTGACTTACTAGCAATTTCAAGAGAAAATAAAGAAGAGGGAAGCCAAAGGACAGAAGGCACTTATACTGTAACTGAGCAGTTAGCCTGAATGACTTGTAGGGAATCTTTGACCCCCTAAGAATCATATAAGGAATGAAATCTGTTTGCTTTATAAATAATCTTTCTTTCCATAAAGTTAATAAGTTTCTTAGACAGTGGTGCCCCATACAGAATGGCAATTCTCGATCACAACTGTTTGGTAGTGTTCTTATAATTATCTTTCATAGATGATGGAGAGATAATGGAGTTGGACCTCGGATAAGAGAACTATTTTCCAGGGTACAGAACTCTGTGTGTGTACGAAGTCCTCCCAGTCCTTGGGGAAAACATTCCAAGGCCCCCAGGGGATGCTGGAAACCACAGATAGTATTAAACTTGACATTTATTCTAGTTTTCTCTATATACACATAGCTAAGATAAAGTTTAATTTTATAAACTAAGCACAGTGGGAGACTAAAACTAATAGAATAATTATAACAATATAATGTAGTAAAGTTACATGACAATGGTCTATCTTGAGAGTCAAGACAAACACAGATATTTTCAGAAGCGTAACTGAGACCACAGGAGTGTGTGACTGCTGTGTGACTTGCTCTCTATACTTGCCATGCTATTCTTTCTCCCTCTCCAAGAACAAGGGTGGGATCTTAGTTCTTTGAATCCCAGCTTGTAGCAGGGTACTGAGCCAGAGAGCAGGCATACTGCACATGTCCGTTGAGTCAGAGGGGCCTGAACAAGGCAGGAAAAGGAGAGCAGAGCCATCAAACTACGCCCTGTGCTTTCCATGCTGCTTCAATAAGTTAATAACAATGTGCTGCCAATGGTTGATCAGCTCTCAGAAGTACCACATGTGAAGGCCATTCTTTGGAGTATCTGCTCAGCTCACAGTCAGTCCCTGGATGGGTCATCATGTCTACACCAGCTAAATCAAATAACACTGCCTCAATCTGAGTGGATGGAGGGGGCAGACACCTGTTTTAGTTTGGGGCCAAATTCTCTCTCTCCAGGACTCTTAACTCTAGAGGAGACACACAGAGCTCAGGACTGTGGTGTGGAGACACTACCAAAGGCAAAACTCAAGGCTAAGTGGTTCAGAACTCCCTTCTGCTAGCAGCTCTGGGGATGCCTGGGTGCCTTCCCTTCAGTCTTAGTTGTATGACTCCTTTCATAAGAGTCTGTGCGACATCCTTGTATTCTTATGACACACTCCTTTTGAGTTAGACTGGCTACAGCTTATTTTAATTGCTTGAAACTCAACAATATAGTTCTCATTTTATTTTGAATACATACATTTATTTAACAGATATTTGTACTGTGGATACAAAAACAATTAAAACACATTTCCTGCCACTGATGGTATTGGCAGTTAGTGAGGAACACAGCAGAGGGGACCTCTTGCCAAATCTCAGTGTGTATGTAACATAGGAAAGAAATAAATCTTTTTTGTTTTAAGTCACTGAGAATTAGGGCTGTTTGTTACTGAAGCGTAACTGAGTCTATTCCTCACGGACTGAGTCTGTTCTGAGTCAAGCTACACAAGTTTACAATAATTTTTAAAAAGCTATCTTTATACCTTATTCATAATAGCTAAAAATTAGAAACAACCCAAAATGCCCATGGACCTATACATGAGAATGGATCTACACAGGATCCACAGAAGAACAAATCTACACATTTTGTATATTACAGTAAAATACAAAATTACTTTAAGGAGTAATTTTAGGAAAAAACTTTTGCTAAATACAACATGGATAAATCTCAAAACAACTATACTGATTGAAAGAAATAAGACGTGAAAAAATAAATACTATTTGATTCTATTTGTATTAAGTTCAAAAACTGTCACAACTAACCCAGAGTGACAGAAATCAGGAAGCTCTTTATTCTGGGGGAAAGAGGGAGTGATTAGACGGTGGCACCCACAGACTTTGGGTATGACTAAATACTCTGTATGTTTGTTTTGGGTGAAGATTACACAGGTTATGCAATTATCAAAACTCAACAAACTAAACACTTAAAATCTGTTGTGCTGAGTATAAATTATTTTTTTTTCTTTTTTCTTATTTTTTTTATTTTTTAATTTTTTATTGTGGGTTGTTCAAAACATTACAAATTTCTTGACATA